ACCACCTAGCTATTTGTTCAACTGGCCAGGAGAGAAGTTTATATACAGGTGGAAGATCTGGGAGGAGGGGAACAAAAGAGGGAGAGCCTCAATATTTATATTCTCTCTCTCTTTCTCTCTCTCTCTCTCTCTCTCTCTCTCTCTCTCTGACACAGATTGAGAGAAGAGAGAGAAAGGAGGGAGGAAAGGAGAGAAACTAAGAAAAAAAAAGTGAGAATTTGAAAAACTCGAGGGGCAATAAAGCAGAATGGGCCCTGGGAAGCCCCGCACAGGGTGACAAGCCACGCAGCAGCCATTGTGTGGAAGGGCTCTGCCGACTGCGCTCTGCAGCAGGCAGCCTGCAGGCCCTGGAGCTGTGGAGTATGCGGCAGCTGTGCCTGCCTCTACCTGCTGCAGCCGAGTTGCGTCCTGAAGGTGCCCCAGAGGCTGCGTCTCCATGAACTGCCAGGGCAATTGATAAGTCGTTGGTCGGGAAGTGGGGACATTTACAGGTTCAGACCTGAAGCTCGGTCCTTAAAATGAATTGGAAGCATCTGGCTGTTTTGCTGTTGGTAGGTAATGATGCAGCCGCGTCCCACACCCAGATGTGATTCTACATTGCTGCAGCTGTTCTGGTGGGAGTTTCAACACCCAAAACATCTGCTGCTGGGACTCTGTGGTACCATTTGCACTCCATCTCTCTGGGTTCTTATTCTTTTTCCCAGAAAATGTAGTTTCTTTCCGCTTGGTATTATTCTGTTTTCCAAAGGTGTTATTCCCAGCAAAGGGATGCCCACCATATTCTATGTAACATGGAAGAGAAATTCATATCATCTTCAAAATTCACAGCCCAACTGAGGGGGTGTGACACTAATTAGTTTTATGAGGTTTGATGAGATAGAACATTATAACCAGGCAAAGACTTCATTGTTTATGACACACTTAGAAGAAATGGCTGTAATGAAGTCACTTCTGTATGTTAAACACATTGGGCAGGGGAACACCTTTAAATTTGAAAATGTTTATCTCTGGGATATTTGTCTGCATCATCAAACTGCATGCATAAAGCTCTCTCAGTACTGCACATTTCGCAGATAAAAGAGTCTTTTAAAGCATGAGACCCTCAAACATTTTAGGTGATTTATAAACTCACACCATCGTTCTGAAGATCAACAGGAAATGTCAAGCATCATAAAATAGTCACATACTTTGACCCAGCAGTTTCTGGGAATTTATTGTAAAAAAAAGAAGATCTTTTATATGGAAAAGGCTTATGTGTAACTATGTTTATCATGGGATTAATTACAGTGAAAATGGTTTTGATCTATTGTCCCAAAATACGGAAATAGTTAAGATAATGGGGTGTCTCTACTTCCATAGGATACAAGGAAAATCAATGTGAAGAACTGAATAGTTCCAGCTGCTCAGACAGCAATTAAAAGGATATTTACTGATGGTAATAATAACATGGGAAAACACGTTTGACATATATTAAGTGAAAAAGCAAAAGGCAAACTTGTTTGCACATGATACTTAGAATATTACCAAAACTCGCCATTTGAAAATAACCCAAAGTAATAGCTCCAAAATAAGAATAGCTATCGTGTGTTTGAGTGATAGAATTATGAGCAATTTTCTTCTTTTTTCTACTTTCCTAATTATTTGTGGTTATATTATTTGAATCAATTAAAAAAAAAACACAGAAAAGTGGGTCCTTACAGGAAAGGACATGGGATCTGCCAAAGTAAGTGAGTTTGGAAAAAGAGTAAGACCAATTCAAATCAAATCCAATGTCATCAAAATCTGGAGCTAGCAGGCTGCACCTAGAGACCTATTTCCCACATTGCAACCCCAGCTTTCTGCCTATTTTATCCAGTGTTTTAAGGAATCCTTCACCTGAGATGGTTGAAAATACAGTGATAGACTATTTTTTTAAAAAAACCTGCTTTTTATGAAAGTTTATGAATAAGCACTCATGGGTAAATTTATTTTCCTTAATTTCAATGATTGACAAAACTTGGAACAAGTCTTCTCGCTCTGGTTCCAACAGGTACGTTTCCAAGCTCTCAAAATTGGGGAAGGGTGGATATAGATCTTGTGTCCCACTGTTCCCAAATGTCTTTACCAACCTCATATTGAACCTGAAAGAGAAAAAAGACAGAGCCAATACTGCTCTGGGCTGATTTTCTTTTCCTAACAGTCCTCTCAAATTTTAAAATAGTACAATTGATTTTTTTTTAATATCCAAAAATACACGGCCATTTCTTAGCATTAATAGAGGACAGCTTTAATTTAGGAGTGAACAAGGGATGATGGAGTGATGGGAAACTGATTAATCTCAAGGTTTCTCAAGGAAATGCTGACCTAGCATCATGGCCCTCACGCACACCATTATAATTCTTTGATTTCCTGTCACTGCGGACAGTTTTAAAAAAAGAAGAGGAAGAAGAAGAAGAAAGTAAATAGGAGACATGGAAAATCAATGTGAGGTGCTGAACTGTTCCAGCTGCTGAGGCTCTGTTAATTACATCATATTTTCATGGAGACATTCAGATCAGACTTGCCAAGTGCCTGCATCTGGAGGGGAAGCTCTTCTCCCCAGGCATCCCAGTTAACTGCAAAAGGACAAGCTACCCCAGGAAAGCAGCTTGTTCACACTGACTCTCTGAAGCAAAGTCCCGAGGATCACCAAGTCTTCCGTTACCATAGAGATAAGAGGTACAGGGAGCTGGAGAGGGGCCCACAAGAGTGGCGGGAAGCGGGTTCGTCGGTATGCACAGTGTGAACCTAAGAAAATGCAAGTCTTTTCTACTTGGATGGCCAGGCCTTGGTGGGCTGAGCAGGAGAGAGCAAGAAGAAATGAGAGGAGGCCCCCCCGGAGCAGGCAGAGGGAAACAATGAGAGCAGAAGGACAGGGCTGAAAGCTTTGTGAAGTGCCAGGCCACGGGGGAACCGCAACGATTTCCTAGACAAAGTCCTCTGAGCACCTACTCTCTTGCTAAGCAATAAAAGGAAGCTCCCAGCTCGAGCCCAGACTTCATGGATTGTTTCTTGAAAGGCCTTTCCTGTTAATTCAGATCCTTCCAAAGTCCTCTCTGTGTTTCCCTCCTCCTTTCTATCTTATTCTCCTTCCTTTTTCTCTTCTCACATCCTTCCAGAAGTTTCCCAGCCTCCATTTTTCTTGCTATCTTTATGTGCTCTGAGATGAGCTCCTCCATCCAGGCATCTTTATCTCATCACAAACTCATTCTCCTTCCCTCTCTTTGTTTTTCTATCACCTTCCTTCCCTTATTACCTTCTTCCTATTTTTTGTTTTCTCATTATAGCTTTTGGAACAATTAGCTGGAAGAAAGAAAAATCCTGTGCTATCGAGGATTCTCTGAGACGTTTCCTAGTGTCCAATCTCTACTGCAGCCCTGTTCCGTGACAGAGTCTGTCTTCAACACAATCGCAGCCCAGTCCCATGATTTTCAAATCCTTTGTTCCTCAGAGAGACCCCAAAGGTCCTACATATATTATGGTTTAATCTCATCACTTAAATATGTATTTCAAATTTTCAACACCTACCTCATATTGTCTCCTCCAACCACAAAATTATACATATTAACATCAATTTAAAATATATTTAAATGTACACACACATGTGTATACATAAAGGTAGTGAAAATAAAGGGCATTATGCTATTTTTTGATATAAATAATAAGTTCTAACATGTTCTGACTTGTGCCATCAAAGGAAGTCATTGGGCACAAGTTTGGAAATCAAGATTCTCCTAGTTTCTAGGAACTGTGTTATTGATTGGGAAATTTATAGGACTGTACAGGTACTCGTATAAAATCAGGCCTATTCATAGTCATGAATGTTCATGCAAAACAGTCATAGTTCTTGCAAAAATGTATAAAAGTACAGAAGAGAAGGATTCAATTCAGTACCAAACAAGGGGCCCCGTCCCTCTTCTTGTAGGGTAAGTGAATTGGTGCAATTGTAAGCCAGGTTGTCCCATGTATGAGACTTGGTTTTAGCTCTTGTTTTAACGTCCTGGTTGCTTTCTGAATAACTTTGTAATAAAAGGCATTTGAGGACTTAGTAAATATCATAAGTGATCCAACTTTCAATTTCTTACTACTCCTCATGCAGGAATCCAAACCAGTTTGATGAAGAGAGTCACCTAATACTGTAAAGCCAGCTAGCAACAAACTACTTTCATTTCCAACTATTTATCTGAGCCCATATTGCCGATTCCATCACCTAATTTTGAATTTCGTGATCATTCAGATAGTTTCATATTTGTGATTTATGACATGAAGATAATTGTCACAAATTCAAAATAAAATTTATTTTAGTAAATTATCATTTAATTGACCTTATATATTAGGATTCCATTTAGCTTTCATCTGAAAAAGAAAAATGCTTTGAGACAAAAAGTAAAACAGTTGAAAAACCCTGGCTTCCCCAGTGTCCCTTGGTCCCCTCCTGCTCTGTCTATACTTTAATTTTCAGCCCCAGGGGACCCAGTACCTGTATCCTCCCCTTTCTCAGGCCTTAATTTTCTAAGCAGTTCTTGCTCCTTTATTTCCTCCTTTCAAACTTGATCTGAGGCTCTTTACCTAAAAATCTGGCCCCGCTACTGTATTTGGATAAACAGGCTCACACTGTAGTGGTCCTATGCAAAAATAATTTGAGGGGTTAGCACTGCTTGCGGGATGCAGATTTACACTTACCTCAAGTCTGGGTCAACCTATGTCAAGAAATTAGTCAGCTATAGTAAAATTTTAGGTACTTGGATGTTCAGTAAAACCTAAAGAGGCAACCCTTAGCCAATCTTATCTTTTCAGTGTTTGTCAAACTCTAACCAGTAGCATCAAAACCACTTGTATAGTGCCTGTCACAAAAGGCAGAATCCTGGGACCTAACCGGAACTCTCTGGTGTCTAAGGCCTGGAGGTGCCTTTTAAGCAGATTTCCCAAAGAATGCTGCACTTTGAAGTTCAAGAAGCACTACTGCTGCTCAATTGCTGTACCTGGTGGGTGTAGAGCCCAGGTTGGATGCCGAAGCTTCCTGTACTCCCTTTGCCTCCACAGGAAGCTACTTGAAGAGGCTTGCCAGCAGGAGAAGTACCCAAAGAGGGACAACTAACATCTAGAGAGAGGACAGAAAACCTGGTAAGCAATTTTGAAAAGCAAAAGAAAAATAATCCAAATTCCCTTTTCTCCAGCTCCAAATTAGTCCACCAACAGCAGCAAAGAACAGGCAGGAGGGGAACAGCCTGAATCACCTAGGACACCCAGCTCCTGGCACATCCTGAAGGAGAGGCGGCAGGAAAAAGGAATGACCAGCATAGGGCAGTGAATGGAGGAGATGAGGGCTCAGGAGAGATACAGCCCAGCTCCACCTGCCTATGCAGCAAGGGCTTCTGGGATGTCTTTGTTTTTCAGGCTTCTCCCAGGCTGCCCAGCACTCCTGAAAGTCCAGGGCAGAACGCACTTGAGCAGAGCAAGCAGCTTCCCTGCCCTGGCACCTCCTCAGGCTGTCATTTGTACTTCTGTTCTTCCTTAATGAAAATCCACCACGCACTCCAAAAGAGGAACGGGGACACTTCGTTTTTATTCCACATGCATCTCATTTGTCTTCAGTAGGTTCTTCCATAATCTCATCATTATTGCTATGGCCCTCCGAGGACAGCTGACTTGCATTAATCAGCAGAGCCCCTCATCGCTCACCAGATTCTTTACACTTTTACCATGCCCTGGGGCACCCTAACTTACTTGAAAAATTAATAAACCTCCCCCCTCTTATCTTACCTTATTAATGTCTGTCTTTGTAACCCATTATCCCCGCATATCATCAGAGATCACTGGAGGGTGCGGTGGTCACCATCTTTTCCCCTAATTCTATCCTGAAGCTGGAACGCACCCCCCTACCTCCCTTGAATGACCAGAAAGAAAATGGCCTTCATGGGCCAGCAGGGGGTTTGTTTACCAGCTCAGATGGCTCCGTGGACCAAAGGCAGGAGAATTCTTAGGCTTCAACTAAAGGCCATTAAGGCCCATTAAGTTGTTCTCTCCTCCTCCACATCCCTCGCCCCCTCTTCTGTGTACCCTAGTAAATCTGACTCATTAGCTTTGGATGTTTTGAAATACTGGTACATTAATCACTTGTGTTTGCACACTGTTTATGTGGGTTGTTGGTCATGGTTTGTAGTTATACTGGCTGTCTCCCTTGCTTACTTAAAGGTACAATCCAATTGAAAATAAAGATTTTTGCAGGTTTGCTCATTACACACAGTGTCGGCAGCTGGTGAGTGTCTTTTGCAATTCATCAGAGGCCTCCCAGACCACCTGCTCTCCGCATCCTGCAAACAGCTGGCTCTGGGTAAGTACCATAAGCTATTACCTTATCCACCAAATAAATAAATAAATGGATGGATGGGTAGAAAAATAAATAAATAAATGGAATCGGCAGCCCTGAATCATTGCTGCTGCTTGAAGGGAAGAGTTCATTTTTAAAAGGCAAAAAGACACATCTAGCCCAAACCTTGGTGGTTCCATTTACATGAGAAGAGGGGAGGGAGATGAAATTCTCCAAACTCCAAGTGCAAGTATTTTGTCACTTAAGTAACAAGGCAATTAAAAAAAAAAAAAAAAACCACTCAAGGATAGGCTGTGGTTTGGTACAGAATGTGAAAGGAATGGGGATGGATTTAATTGCCTGCTGGACTTTTTTTTTTTTTTTCCCTCCTGAAAACTCCATAGGGAGGCTTTGTGGAGTTTGAGCTAAGGCCACCAGATGTCCCAGGATTAAGAAGCCAATCCCTGTTTCCAAGGTTGATACCACTTTAGTTTTATTATGATTTTTTTTATCCCAATCATTGACTTTGAGAATGACCCTCTGGGTGGCTCTGCCCTGCCCCAGTCTGTTGTAGCAGAACTTGAGGATACAGAAACTAAAAGGTAATTAGGGGTGTGGGGGGCAGGCACTCGGCTGGGTGTCCTTTTGAGAAACTTCTGAAGTTTGTCACAACGTGAGATTCCCTGAGGTCTACTTGAAAACTTTCTTATAATTTGGAGCTGGTTTTCCTAAACGCCACCCAGTACAGTTATGATCCCCATTAAGGAAAATATCATTCATGACATTTGTTAAAGAACACAAAGGTAGGGGGTACTCAAGGGAGACTACCAAAATGAATTTTCTAGTAAGGGAGAGAGAGCAGGCTCAACTCCCAACATAAGGAAAAGTAGGGATTTATAGGCAAGGCACAGAGGATGGAAAATTACAGAGGAAACATCAGGGGTACAAGGAGTTTCTGCCTAAACTGACCTAACAGGATTCTCACATGAAGGAAGCCAAAATGATCAGACTTATGGAGGGAAGGATAAGGACAAAGAACCCAATCAGGTATCAAGGTGACCAGATATCAAGGTGATCAGTTATCAAGGGTGGGATTTAGCAGGTGTGTTAGTCAGCTTTCAACCACTATAACAAAATACCTGAGGCAGGATACTTAGGAAGAAGAGAGGTTTATTTAGCTCATGGTTTGGAAGATTCAAGGACACAATGCTGCATTGGCTCAGTTCCAGTGAGGGCCCTCATATCATATCAGGGGTACGTGCAAGAACAAATGATCACATCTTCAACAGGAAGCCAAGGAGCGCTGGGCAAGATTAAGTTCAGGCTGTTATCACAACTCATTCTAGCAAGAACTTACTGCAGGAAACCAGCATTCCCTTCTGAAGACAGTGTCCCCAATAACCCAAGGGCCTCCCCTCAGGTCCCACCTCTTAAAGGCCTACACCATCTCCAATAACTCCATCCTAGAAGCCAAGTTCCAAATACATAGACCATTTGGGAACAAACCACATCTAAACCTCAGCAGCTATGTTCTTAGTGAAATTGGACAATGCCTGAATGTGGATGAATATGGAAATCCAAAAGTCAGGATTCAGAAGAGCCTGCCTAGAGTTTGGCCAACTAGAGAGTCTTTGATGTCTCCTAAAATGACTTACTCTGTTCTCCATAGGATACTCGGATACCTACCTCTCTGTTTATGAGCTATGTCAATTGAATGCCTGAGTGTTTACTGCTGAAATCCTAATAATTTTCACAGCTTTTATCTTTGCTACTTTGTGAATTAACATGAAAATACATTTCACATTTTACCAAATTGAAAATTCAGTAAATGAGGATATATCTATATTTTTACATTTTTTTTGCTTTAATTCTTCCAGAATTTTCCAGTAAGAACCTAGCTTCTCTGTATGACTGAGGACAAGTAGCATCAGCACAACCTGGGTATTTGCCAGAAATAGCAGACTCTCAGAAACAAAATCCACATTTGGGGTGGGGGAATACTAGAGATTGAACCCAAGGGCACTCTACCTACTGAGCTGCATCCTCATTCCTTCTAATTTTTCTTATTTTGATACAGGATTTTGTTAAGTTTCTAAGGCTGACCTTGATCCTCCTGCCTCGGCCTCCCGAGTCAATGGGATTGCAGGTGGACCACAGCTCACAGCTACACCTCTGATTCTTTCAGTTCAAAAGCAACTGATAAAGATTGCCACCAGCCACACCAAGACTAAAGTGATCATAAGAATTAGAAGAAGAAACACAAACCAGGCAATTTTCTCACCAGTTCATTGAGCAGGCAGCACAATGAGGTAGAAAAGAGAGAATTAAGAGAGTCAGAAAAATCTGGGTAAACTTTCTGATTCTGTAGTTTAGGAGAATCCTGACTTTGAGCTAGTTCCTCCTCTAAGGCTTAATTTCATTACTTAAGAATGGAGATAACAGCAACTCCAACGCCTACCTTTAGGGAAATTTCATAAATAAAGGACACCTTATATGCAATCACACAAAAAGCTCTGAAAAGTTTTGTACATGTATAATTAAATCTTAGTAATAATAATCGATAGGAAGGCTGCAGCTGGATCTCTTTACCAATTGGATGAGAAGGAGGACTGCAATCTCACGGTATGTATGGAAGAGGTAAACCCTGGTATGCTATAGTGACGCAGTTGTTAACGTTTTTGCTGGTGCATTTTCTCTGTCCTGTAAGACGAGAAATCTCGTCTTACAAGACGAGAGGTATATTGAATACTAGAAATTGGGTAGCTGTTGCTAAAAGCTGCTGGTTTAGTGAAACAAGATTGTAACCAGCTCAAGATGAGTATTCAACAAAGTAAATTTATGAAGTCAGAGGATCTTCTAGGTCACATTTAAGGAAGAGCTGATTTCTGGTAGCCAGTGGACAGGCAGAGAGAAAAAGCCAGGGTCACAATTTAATTGTTACAGTAGCAGTGCTTCAGAAAAATTCTAGAAGGTTTCTTATGCTGAGATCAAGGTCCTAATAGCAAAAGTATAGGCCCCGGAGAGATTTGGATTGGAGATATCTGAGCAATAAATTGAGGAATTCTTACTTCCAGATTCCCTGGGGCCTAGAGAAAAGGCCCACTTCCCTTTGTTAGAAGTAGTGACCCCCCACAACTTGCCTGAAGATCATTCAGAGGCCTCAGATGAAGCAGGTGTCTGCATTAACATGTCAAATGTCCCCAAGGCTACCCCCAAGTTTGATGATTCACTAGGAAGACTCACAGGACTCAACATATGGTCCTACTCCTGGCTGTGATTTATTACAGCAAACCGATACAAAGCAAAATCAGCAAAGGAAAAAGGCACAGGGGGCAAAGCCCTGGGAAGAGCAGGCACAAGCTTCCCAGGGTCCTTTCCAGAGGAGTCACCCAAGACATGCCTAATGCTCTCAGCAACAAGTTGCAACAATACATCTGGAAATTTTGCTAATCTGGGCAATCCTCTAGACACAGCCCCAGAGTTGTTATTGGAGAATGGTCATGTAGATGGCCTTTGCCTGTTAGGTACCAAAATTTCAGATGCCCAGAAGGAAAGAGGTTGTTCAGCATAAGCCATATTGTTTGTACAATGTTAGGACGGCGAGCCTCTCTTATCCATTCCAGGAATCCCCAGTCTAAGTTGCCAAAAGCTACCCAAGAGACAGCCTTACGAGCAGGCCTTTCAAAGGACAGCAGTCAGGCTACCATGTCAATGCCTATCTGCACAATCCACAATAATATTTTTTGCAACAAATCACCCCAAGACTTAGTGTTGGTCCAGCAGGGACTCTGACCCAGGAAACAAATTCAAGGTTCAACAGGTGTTAGAAGATGCCAGACACAGTTAGGATAGTAGGCATGCTTTATCCAGTGGTGGCCACAGCCTCCAAGCTCCAGCCAGTTTCATTTTGGCCCTCATTTTGTCCCCACTCTGTCCTCATTAGCCCATCTCGCCCCAAGTCTTTTCCACAGGTCCTTTTTTTATGCAGGTCAAACACAGAAGGCACAATGCCAACAGGTTACATTAGGGGGCACATGCTCCACAAGTTAATGTTGAGACCTTGAGTCTATAGGCTGAATCAGAGTGTTTCTGGCCTTGACTAACCATAACATGGCCAATTCTCCACCCTGGCTACACACTAAAAAACATAACATAGCCCACCAGAAGTCTTCGTCAAAGTGCCTAATTATAGCCATTGTGTATTTGCCCCAACAGATTCTTAGCATAACTAATATTTATTTGCTTGAAATTCTTTGAGTTAGCATGTAGGGCTGGGGTGGTTTGTCTGTATTCCTGTGATGTTGGTTGACTCTCTCCTGAATTTGCAGTAAGTTGGAAGTCTGGCTGGGGTTGGCTTGTGCCCCCAATCCTCTCTCATGTATCCACCAGTTGGCTGCAGCTATTACCCAGGACACCTCAGTTTTCCCTCATGTGGCTCTCCACATGGTCAAATTCATGATATGGCCCTTGAGTTGCAAGAGGGAGAAAAATAAGTTGCGTGGCTTTTTGAGTCTCAATTCATAAGTCATTCAATATCATTTCTAATGCTCCCTTATTAGTC